TGTCTCACGCCGCTGGAGATATTAAAGGACGATGACAACTTGCCGTAAGCCCTCACTCTGCCCGAGCTACGCGCATATAATGCTCGGATAATATTCACATATTTCTCAGGTACACCTTTCCTGAGTAGACAGTCCCAAAGTGCATGTCTATCCACCGAATCGAATGCACCTTTGATATCGAGGAACACGACAACGGTGGGCCGCCAATATATGTGACGGTGCTCCAACAACTGACGCAAGGTGAAGATGTGGTCAATGCAGCCACGACCTCGACGAAATCCAGCTTGCTCTTCACGAATCTGGCTTTCACGAGTGCCAGTCAGTCTGTGAAGGATGACAGAGGCAAGCAATTTGGAGGCGATGGAGATCAGACTGATTCCTCTATGGCTGCCGCATTCCGATCGTGAGCCTCCTTTGAAAATTGGGACTATGACGGAGCGGCTCCAATCGGTTGGGACAGTTTCCTGCTCCACAGTCTCACTAGTAACTCGTGTAAATCATCCACAAGAGCAGGTCCCCCGAATTTGAAGAGGGCTGGAGGAAGGTCATCAGGTCCCGCGGCTTTATTTAACTTCAACAGTTTGATCTCATGTTCGACTTCTGAGCGAGAGGGTGGATCCAAAGGGACAGCCCACGGAGCAGGGCGATCAGTGGTCGGCGAGAAATCTGACAATTCCGGCCGATTAAATTGCCTTTCAAATGCTCACCCCAAAGTTCTAAGCGTTTTGACAAGTTGTGGATAGGCTGTCCACTCTCGTCAAAATTGTTTCACTGACACCAGGTCTCCTGCTGCCCGTTTCCCGTATAAGACGGAATAACTTACGTTGGTTACTAAGGGCAGCAGCCATTTCCCTCTCTGATGCACGATGAGACCACCAGGATTGGCGGTCTCTCTTCAGGCTAGCACGGAGTTTTGCCCGGAGCTCTTTGCGAGTTTCATTGTGTTCGCTTCCAGCCGGAATGTGCCGGTAGGATCTATAAGTTCCAGAGACTGTGAAGAGACCCAATGTTCATGTTGGCGATTAGACATACCACATGAGGATTTGCCTGCTGCTAGTAAGGCCTGTTGCATATGAGACCAGTGAGCTTCAATTGCATCCAGTGAGCGTTTATCCAACTCGCATGACAGCGTAATTTGATAGGCGTTCAGAACAGCTGGCTTCACCAGTCTGCCGGTGTCAATGCGCTCACAACATCGTCGCGGGCGTCCGCCAAAGCGCATCCGCAGGTCAGCACATACAAGTGCATGATCGGTGTCAACACCTGTGCTCCAAATCGAGCGACAGTTCTGGACGCAGCCTCTCCAGCGGTAACTGATAGCAATGTGATCGATTTGCGTCCATAGCTGGTTCGAGGCTGGTAGGCGCCAAGTCACCCTCCGGCGGGTGTTGTGTCAGAAATTAGTGCTCGCAAGAAATAAGCGAGCATCCTCACACAAATGAAGTAACCGCTCACCGTTATCATTACGGGAGCCTATAACATGTTGGCCGCCCAGATGCAGCTCATCTGTGGATAATTTTCCAATTTGAGCGTTCAGATCCCCAGCCAGCACCACAGTGTCCAAGCTTCTTCTGTGGCGAAGGAGTTCGTTCAGTTGGCGATAGAAGTCGTCTTTTATCGAGTCATCGCTACAGTTTGTCGGTGCATAGGCAGCGATAACGAATAGACACCTGTTAGTCCCACGCGACTTCGAAGTTTTGAACGAGCCAGCCAATCGGACCGCACACATCCGGCTAGTCATTGGAATCCAATCAACCAGAGCAGCTTCAGCCCGGGGACTCAGGGCAATACCAACACCGGCTTGGCCGGTGCTCGAAGCTGCCTCGTCACCGGATAGGCGCAATGAGAAAGTGCTGCTAGTGTCACCTGAAGGGGATCGCAGAGTGAGTACAGAGCTCGAGTCTTGCAGGCGGGTCTCCGATAAGCAGCAGATATCGATCGAGAGGGTCTCCAATGTTCGGGCAAGTGCTGCCTGTTGACCGACCTGAAGCAATGTGCGAACACTGAGGCATGCCAATCTGAAGGAGGATCGAGCGCTCCAAATGGAAGCCGATGAACTGGAATGGGGCCGCTTGCTTGGACATGGACCTGTTGACAGTGCAGGAATGACGCACCGCGTTCACCTGTGAGTTGAAACTAAAAGACAAGCGACTATTGAAGCAAGGTGGAGGAGGGCCGAGAATTGGGGGGTTGAAAATAGGGGGGATAAAAGTGAACCTGGAAAGGGACGATAAGGGTGAAAAAGCGCAAGAAGTGGAATAAGAAGATGGGAGGGCTTGAGCAGTAGCATCCAAACTCCTATCCACCCTGCTCGATGCAGCAGATAGGGCACCGTTGATTATCCTCAGCGGTGGCAAGAGCATCAGAAATTTGGTTGAGGAAAGATTCATTGTATTGCGTGAGCAGGATACTGTCAGGTTACCCAGGCCTAGACAGGAGAACGATTAGGGTTCTCAACCAAAGCCTTTGGTTCGAAAACCTTACCGCAAGGCAGCGAGTTTGGCACTGGACTACAAGGAGTCCGATTTAAGGAATAAGGAGCCACCCTCATTCCAACCCCCAACCTGGAGGACCAGGAGGCTGAGTATGTCTGGCCTCTAACCATTGACCAATCTGGTATGAGTGACTCTGAAGGTGCAAAAGCACCACCCAGCATAGCTCAATGGATCGCTGAGGCACACAAACCATCGCACCACGGTAAGGTTCAGCCTCATTGTGATGGCTGAAGCACGATGAGATCACTTCGGTTCGGTGTCTCTCTTCAGACTAGCACGGAGTTTTGCCCTGATGTCTTTGCGAGTCTCATGATGTTCGTATCTAGCTGGAACGTGTTGGCGATCATCGATAAATTCCGGAGAATGCGAATAGACCCAATGTTTATGTTGACTATCAGCTTTAAGGCATGAGGATTTTTAGCTGCTGCTAGTAAGGTCCAGTGAACATGAGGCCAGTGGCATACAATTGTACTAACTATATATATATATATATATATATATATATATATATGTATATATATATATATTCACACTCTGTTAACAGATATTATGCCATCAGAACCATGGCAGAAAAAGGTGAAGATGGGAACACGAACTGCGAGTAAAGAATATGGGAAACGATTTTTTGGTTTTACGCACAACATTTTGTACCTTTTGTTTTGTTTTGTGAGAATTTGTGTGTAACAAAAGGATGGTAACATGGCAGAACAACATTGAGGCCACTGATGTCCGCTGTGGGCCATGACGTCTAATATTTCCAACTACTGCAATTAAGCATCTCGTGGTCCCCAACCTGGAAGACGGACTGATCCGACTGCCGCCCAAATTCAGGCTGCCTTCTTCATGCTCCATCTCCAAGTCACTGGCTATCAACCGCGGCACCTTTTCCAATCGCTCCCTGGGAGTGCAAATAGCGTTCGACGTAGAAGGGGATGGCCTCACCATCATCATCATCAACAGAAGTACATCAGCCATTTCAACTGATGCTTCGCTGCCATACAACCATGAGGACCAATGAAATAAAGAATAAGAAGAGGGAGAGAAGATGGACTTAAATGAAAACCTCAATGACCTAAGCAAACATTCAGGGTCAAGGCGCCTACACCTTGTGTTAACAACATACCGTCACAAACAGCTGCCTATCGTGCAAAGATAAGGCGGCATCGGCGAGACAGCTTCCTTGCGGCTTTCACTGCCACGCGTTATAATCAGCCATTACCCCGCAGATAACTCAGCACCAAACAGACTTTAAACAGGCAATCCGATTAGGAGACGACAGCAGACACGCCACTGGTGTCTACTGCGAGCCATGTCCTGTAATGTTTCGAGCCAAGCACAAGGCGAGTCATGTGGACTCCAGCCCAAAAGGCGAGACGGACCAACGGTACCCAGTTTGGTCGTCAGTGACTTCATTTCCCGTTGCAAAGTCAACTTCTGTCTACCGCGAACCGTGCGCCACCCAAAACCAGGCAGACTGAACAAGGCCCTCCTAGGTAAGGGGTGACCACACATACGTAACACGTGCCGAGCCAACGCAACTTATTCAGTGCTATCTGTTGTTCTAGGGAGCGAGCATGATTATCACTTCCTAGTACTCGCCTACGCACATCATCGTTGCGGACACGCTGGTGCCATTCGACTCCAGCAACTCTTCGTAGACAACGATGTTCAAAGGCCTGAAGGCGCCTCAGCTCTTCAGAAGGAAGGGGGCCAAGTTTCACTACCATAGAGCAGAACGGCCCTCACTGTGGCCTTGTATACACGGCCTTTCAGACGAAGTAAAACTCCCTTCTGTCGCCAAAGATGACGCAGGTTCAAGAAGGTAGCTCTAGCTTTTGCAATGGGGAAGCTGATGTCAGTTGATATGCGCCCATCGTTGCTGACGCAGCTGCCAAGACAAGTGAAATGATCAACCACCTAGAGTTCCTCGTTAGCAAGCGTCAAGGGGTCATAAAGTGGCTGGTGGTCCTGCAGTAACACTTTGCACTTTGAACCTGCAAAGTGCATACCAAATAATGGGATCACTCTGGACAGGCTATTTAGGGTTGACTGGGCCGCCCCAACATCATCGAAAAGCAAAACGATATCGTCCACATAATTAAAATCAACTAACCTTTCACCAGGAAGCACTTCAACGCCTACATCGTGAGATTCCGCAACGGAACACTCCATGATAGAATCCACGACGAAAATGAACAAAAGCGGGAAAATCGGACAACCCTGACGAACGCCACTTGTGGTCGGAAAGCTATCCGATAGGCCACCGTAAACCCTGACGCGGCCTGTAGTCTTCGAGTATAGAGCACGTAGAATGTTCACCTACCAAGTGGGAACACCTTTCCGCGCAAGTATTTCGAACAGAATCGATCGATCGACTGAACCGAACGCACTCTTGAAATCGAGGAACACAGCTATTGTCGGTCTGCGGTGTGCGTGGCGCTGCTCTAGCACCTGCCGCCCCCCCGCTCGCTCGGGCCCTGCCTCACCTACCCCCTCCTGCTAGTG